TGGCAAGAACATGAGGAAAAGGCAATCCTTGCATACTGTTGGTGAGAATGTAAATTGGTACAGCCATTATGGAAAACAGTATGGAGGTTCCTCAAAAAATTAAAAATAGAACTACAGTATGATCCAGCAATCCTAATTCTGGGTATGTACCCAAAGGAAATGAAATTAGTATCTCAAAGAGATGACTGAACTCCCACGTTCATTGCAGCACTATTCACAATAGCCAAGATATGTATCAACCTAAGTGTCCATCAATGGATGAATGGATAAAAAAAAAACTGTGGTACGTATAAACAATGGAATATTATTTTGCTTTAAAAAAGAAGGATATTCTACCATTTGTAGCAACATGGATGAGTTTGGAGAACATTATGCTAAGTGAAATAAGCCAGACAGAGAAAGACAAATATTGTATAAGACTTCTTGTCATGGAACTTAAAAAAGTCAAACTTAGAGAAACAGAGGGTAGAATGGTGGTTGCAAGGGGCTAGGGTGTGGGGGGAATGGAGAGATGTTTGTCAAAGGGTGCAAACTTTCAGTTATAAGATGAATATGTCCTAGAGATCTAATGTACAGCATGGTAACTATAGTTCATAATAATTTATTTTATGCTTAAAATTTGCTCATAGAGATCTTAAGTGTTCTCACTTTGTATGTGTATGTGTTCTCACCAGACACATACACATACAAAAGGTAACTAAGTGAGATGATGGCTACATTAATTAGTTGTGGGAATTATTACACGGGGTAGATTTACAACAAAACACCAGTTTACATATCTTAAATGTATAAAATTTTAAATTTGTCAGTCATAATTCAATAAAACAGGCAGAAAAAAAGAAAAGAGAAAACAAACAATTTAAAAATGGGGGGCCGGCCCGGTGGTGCACTGCACTAGTGCGCCGCTTAGGAAGCGCGGCAGCGCTCCCGCCGAGGGTTCGGATCCCACATACAGACCGGTTCCCGCTCACTGGCTGAGCGAGGCATGGGGGCAACGCCGAGGGTTGCGATCCCGTTGCCGGTCCCGGTCCGGTACAGGGGCGACACTGAGGGTTGCGATCCGTTGCCGGACACGGAAAAAAGACAAATAAATAAATAAATAAATAAATAAATAAAAATGGGCCAAAGACCTTAACAGACACCTCACAGATGCCAAATAAGTGTATGAAAAGATGCTTCATGTAATGTCATCAGAGAAATGCAAATTAAAACTGCAATGAGATACCACTACATACCTAACAGAATAACTATTAATCCAGAACACTGACAACACCAAATACTGGCAAGGATGTGGAGAAACAGGAATTCTCATTCATTGTTGGTGGGTGTGCAAAATGGTATAATCACTTTGGAAGACAGTTTGGTAGTTTCTGACAAAAATAAATGTACTCCTGTTATATGATCCAGCAATTACGCCCTATGGTATTTACCCAGAGGAGCTGAATACTTATGTGCACACAAAATCCTGTGCATGGATAATTATAGCAGCTTTGTTCATAATTGTCAAAATGTGGAAACAACCAAGATGTCCTTCAGTAACCAAATAGATAAATAAATTGTAGTATATCTTAACAATGGAATATTACACAGTGCCAAAAAGAAATGAGCTATCATGCCATGAAAAGACATGGGGGTAGCTTAAATTATATTACTAAGTGAAAGAAACTGATCTGAAAATGCTACATGCTGTGTGATTCCAACTATATGGCATTTTGGAGCAGTACAAAGATTAGTGGTTGCTAGAAGTTAGAGGGAAGGGAGAGATGAACTGGTGAAGCACAGAGGATTTTTAGGGCAGTGAAACTACTCTTCATGATATTATAGTCGCAGATACATGTCATTATAAATTTTTCCAAACCCATAGAACGTACAACATCAAGAGCAAACCCTAATATAAGCTACAGATTCTGGTGATAATGATGTGTTAATGTAGGCTCATCAATTATAAATGCATAATGGTGGGACATATTGTGAATGGGTGAGGTTATGCAAGTGTGGGGGGGGGCTGGAGGCATACAGGGAATATCTCTACTTTCTGCTCAATTTTTCTGTAAACCTAAAATGGCTTTAAAAATAAAATCTATCCATGGGCCGGCCCGGTGGTGCACTGCGCTAGTGCGCCGCTTGGGAAGCGCGGACGCGCTCCCGCCAAGGGTTCGGATCCCACATACAGACCGGTTCCCACTCACTGGCTGAGCGAGGCGCGGGGGCAACACCAAGGGTTGCGATCCCATTGCCGGTCCCGGTCCGGTATGGGGGCAACACTGAGGGTTGCGATCCGTTGCCGGACATGGAAAAAGACCAAAAATAAATAAATAAATAAATAAATAAAATCTATCCAAAAAAATGCACATCAGTAAGTAGGAACTAGGGCCAAAATGCAGATCTACATTGAGACACATGTTCACCTATATAAAGAAAAGATAAAAATCTACCTAATTGGTTAATGTTTTTGGTTAGCCTTGTCCCTTAATCATGCTCTAATAATTATTTATTTGGGATGTTGTACAGAGTCAAATATTAGATGATAAAATGGGCTAAATGACTTTTGAAATTACTCTAAGCCCTGACTTAATGATGCTAGAGTCATTATTTAACTAGGTTTCAAATTTATCTTTACCTTGATCTTATCTTTCAGCACTATGTTTGAATATTTTATGTTTTTCAACATTCGCTCTGGCATTACAGCTATTCCAAAGAGTTTCCAAACCTTCAAATAGATGTCGGGTCCTTAGTGTACGTAAGTCTGTTTAACAAATGTTTTGATAAAGAAAAACATAATTTTTCTTACCACAATGGTATTTTCCTTGAGTTCCATGCCATATGCACATATGTTATCATAGAAAATAACAGAAAATCTCAAGACACAATAGATCAAGACAGAACAGAAGAACTTCAATGGAAATGGATGTGAAAGCAAACTAAAAAGACCAACACTGAACATGGAAGTGTTATAAGAAGGAAAAAATGAACAAAAAAATTCATCAAAGACAAAAGAGTGCCATTTAAAAAAAAATTAGTATCAAATAGTAAGAGGGGATTAACACTAAAAAAGGTAGAAGCCATCAGAAGAGGGAGAATATGGCACAAAAGATAAATGCAGTTCATGTCAAGTGACTGGAGCATGTCCAAAAACAACAGGAAATGCGAGAGTGATGAGAGGCAGTATGTTACATTGGAATTTGCATTAAAATTAAGCCAGTCACCATAGAGGGAAAGAATTTTAACAGGGAAAAGTAGCCTTACAAAGGAAAAGGCAGCCTCAGTGGCAACTGACAACAGAAGCTCCAAAGACACGTGATACAGATAATGTCTCCTATAAAGAAAGGAAAGCTGCACAAAACATGAAAAGGAAAGGCCAACTCACAGCAAAGAGGGGGCAGAACAGTGCGGAGTACAAAAGAGCCCTGTGAGAACAGGGATAAAGAAGAGGAAGGAGGACTGAGTTGGAAAGAGCTTGAGGAAATTGCTCAGACAAAAAGTGTTTATCAAGAATAAAAAGAAAAATACCTGAGTGAGTGAATCTTGAATCACACACACACACACACACACACACACACACACACACACGTGTGTAGAATTTACCATTCCATTTAAACTGCATTCTAAATTCTGAATTATCACTGGTTATTTAAGACAGACAAATAAAACTACCTTCTCACACCATAATCAAGTCAGGTTTCATTATGGAACTTTATTTTTTTTATTTTTATTTTTAATTATTTATTTATTATGAATATTCATGAGATACAAAGCTGATTGTCCCCCTCCTGCCCATGATGTGAGGGCCAGATTCATACTTGGGCCAGATTCATACCCATTACCAGAAATTACATTTGTACCCTTTGTCCCCTCCCAATTATCCCCCCAACCTCCCTCCTCCTCCCCCTCTCCCCTCAACTCCAATTTGTAGCCCTAGGAATGTTCCCTCCCTCTGTTGGATCACAGCACTACTGTAGTCTTTCTTTCCTTCCTTCTTTCTCTCTTAGCTCCCACATATGAGTGAGCACATGCGGTATTTATCCCTCTGTGCTTTGCTTGTTTCACTCAACGTAAGTTTCTCCAGATTCATCCACGTTGTTGCAAATGGGAGTATTTCATTCTTTTTTTACGACAGAGTAGTATTCCATGGTGTATACATACCACAGTTTCCTTATCCAATCATCTATTAATGGACATTTAGGTTGGTTCCATATCTTGGCTATTATAAACAGGGCTGCAATAAACATGTGAGTGCAGGTATCTCTTTGACATGACGATATCCATTCCTCTGGATATATACTCAAAAGAGGGATTGCTGGATCATATGGAAGATCTATCTGTAGTTGTTTGAGAAACCTCCACTTGTTTCCAAAGTGGCTGTAGTAATTTACAGTCCCACCAGCACTGCAGGAGTGTTCCTTTCTCTCCACACCCTCATCAGCATTTGTTATTCACCATTTTATTGATTATAGCCAGTCTAACTGGAGTGAGGTGGTATCTCATGTGGTTTTAATTTGCATCTCCCTGATGACTAGTGATGTTGAGCATTTTTTCATGTATCTGTTGGCCATTTGTATTTCTCCCTTTGAAAAATGTCTATTCAGCTCGTTTGCTCATTTTTTAATTGGGTTATTTATTTTTTTACTGTATAATTGCTTGAGTTCTATGTATATTCTGGATATTAGTCCCTTGTCAGATGCATAGTTAGCAAAAAATTTCTCCTATTCTGTAGGTTGTCTTTTCACTCTCTTGATCTCTTTCAGGATTAATGGATTTTCTGTGGTCTTTTGGGAGCTGGCAGTTCAAAGACATTCAAAATGACCCACTCAGGGTATAGTGGAATAAGCTGAGCCTAGAGATGCACAGGAACCTGCTTCCCATCTCTCGGGAATGTGAGGGCAGGGGCGGGACCTGAAACTTCCACTCCATGTGGAAGGCTCTCTCCTGCTCAGTGCGACCAGGGCAGGAGGGAGGGAGAGACCATGTGGGCCAGATTGGGTGGCAGGTTTGAGTCTCACTTCCCCTTCTGCCTGTGTCACTGTGAGCAAAGCTGCCGTCCCACACATGACAGTAATACTCAGCCTCGTCCCCAGCCTGAGCCCCGCTGATGGTCAGGGTGGCTGTGTTCCCTGAGTTGGAGCCGGAGAATCGGTCAGGGATGCCTGAGGGCCGATTGCTATCCCTATAGATGACCAGCAAAGGGGCCTGGCCTGGCTTCTGCTGGTACCAGTGAACATATTCCTCTGAGAGCTTTTCTCCAGAGCATGTGATCGAGGCCGTCTGTCCCAGAGGCACCGACACCGAGAGTGCCTGAGTCACCACATAGGAGGTCGCGGACCCTGCACGGGGAGAAAAGGAGAAGAGGACATTAAGATGAAAGACCCTACCAAGGTGATCCCTTTCATTTTTGGTGTGAACTGAGAGCTCCTGCTCCTAGCCTAGCCTGGTCCAGCTGCAGGGATTCTCTGGGCCCCCACGATGATCCCTCCCATCAATTTTAGCTCAATGGCCCATGGCCTTGGCTTGTGGATGGAGCCTTTGGGCAAATGAGAAACCGCCCCTTTCTCCTGGCAGGGGCAGCCCCAGAGGCTCACATAAGCCAGTGAGCAAGTGTGGGGCATTCCAGCCCCAGCAGCCCCTCATCCTGCAGCAGGGTCCTGAGCCTCCAGCCCACCCCAGCCAGGGCCCTGCTGAGCTCATTTTTTAATTGGGTTATTTATTTTTTTACTGTATAATTGCTTGAGTTCTATGTATATTCTGGATATTAGTCCCTTGTCAGATGCATAGTTAGCAAAAAATTTCTCCTATTCTGTAGGTTGTCTTTTCACTCTCTTGATCATTTCTTTTGCTGTGCAGAAGCTTTTTAGTTTGATATAGTCCCATTTGTTTATTTTTTCTTTTGCTGCTTATGCTTTCGGGCTCATGTTCATAAAGCCTGTGCCCTGACCTAACTGCTAAAGTGTTTCACCTATATTTTCCCTTAGTAATTTTACAGTTTCAGGTCTTATACCTAGGTCTTTAATCCATTTTGAGTTTATTTTAGTGTATGGTAAGAGATGCATATCTAGTTTTATTCTTCTGCAAATGGATATTCAGTTTACCCAGCACCACTTGTTGAAGAGGGAATCTTTTCCCCAATGTAGATTTTTGTTTCATTATGGAACTTTAAACTTTGGGGATGATTCCAAGTTCTCAAACAACTTTGGTGATATAAATGAATGTAATGTATCCATTAGTTATTAAAACAAATATAAAAGTATTACTGTTTTGTTATCATGGGCTTCTACAGAAGAGCTGAAACAAAGTGTTTAAGAAAATACGTGGTGGAGCTTTCCTTTTTCAGCCTTTATAGTATGGAATGCATGACATGTTCTGCTTATAACTGTCACAGTGTTCTAGATAGAGTATAAAATGTAAAAAAAAAAAAGAACCACTTATGCTTTAATACTTAATTTTCTATTACATATTACATATATAAACATCAGCAAGCAGAATTTTATGGTGTCTTTTCAATGTCCTTAGTAGAATTGGTGAAAGGTGGGGGAAAATAGTCATTTACACACACTGCTGGCAGGAAAATAATTGGCACAAATATTCTGTAGGACAATTTAGCAATATGAATCAAAACCTTTAGAAATGCTTAAGTTGTCTAACTCAGTAATCTTCCTTTCAGGGATTTATAAATAAAATAATCAGTTAAATGTACAGAGACATATAAAAGGGATTTTCACTACAGGGTGGTTTACATCAGATACATAGTAAAAACAATCTAAATGTCAAAGGGAGATGAATTAAATCATATTTGTAAATAGAATAGTATGTAGCATTTCAAAATGATAGAACTGAAGCAAAATAATTGCCATAGAGTTATTTATACGATAACATATTGGAAGAAAAATGTGTGCTATAAAAGAGTTTTATAAAATAATTTTATTTTTGTGATTAAAGAGATTATATTTTATGTATATATAAAAGAAAAATCTGGAGGACAATGCACCATTGCTAACAGTATACTCTAAATATTTTCTAAACTTTTAAAATTGATTGTGTTTTACCTTTGTAATCAGAAAAGAAATATTTGTCATATGGATTTTGTAAATATGAACAGACCATCATAACTTGGTTTCTTTTGACAAAAGAAAACAATCTGGAGGGATACAGTATAAATTCTAAAGTGGAAATAAAGGGGTAAGTGTTGGAGTTATAGTAGAAAACATTCTGAAAGTAACAATGGACCATATCTTCAGTGGTTTACATAAAGCCATGTTTTATAGAACATAGCAATGATGAACGGGATACACATGGGTTCTATTTTGCGTTTCAATAGATGCTTAGAAATAAAGCTGGGAAACTCTGTCAGGATCTATTAGTTGTTATACTAATGCAAAGGTTGAAAACTTATTCCAGTTGTTAGGATATGTTGAATACATTATCAGATTCTCTTACCTAAATTGTTAAGATATTTACTTTTGGATTCCAATGCCCATCATCCTGTATTAGCACATGTTCTAACTGCTATTAAAAGTAAATAATTACATTTGTAATATCTGGTTACAGCACTTATATATATACTGTAACTTTCATTAGTGAACTTGTAATGTGTAAATGACCTCTGAAATAATGACTGTCATATTCTCTCCTACTCAAACTTGAGTTGAAGATAATCACTTACTTGAGGTTACAGGCAACGTAAACGAGAGGTCTTCAAGCACTTATGAAAGATTTATTATGAATTTGACTAAAATGAACCGTATTAAATTATGAAATGATTTCCTCATCTCTTGAGAGTCTCTTATGAAGACTATTACCCCCAATTATATAAAAAAGGGTACAGATTATTTTTAAATTCATGAGTGTACAGCAGCACATGATGGAAGCACTTATGGCTCTTCTGCTTTTTAATAAAGACTTACTTTTCTTACATATGTAAGTGGAAAAAAAAATACAGTGATCTTCCCCTTAAGTGGATATAAATAAATATTGAATATTTACCACTAAAAAGAATTGATCACAGTTTATATTGTCCTTGAATAAAAGAAATCTACAGGAAAGTGGAAATATTAGAAATTAACATACTAACGGAAGACTGAGTTGAAAAGATTAGAAGTAGAGCAAAAAAGGGTAGACTATGAAGACAAATAAGAAGATAGATCAGAGGAACGAGAAATAATAAGAGCATGAGAGATCCTAATACTAAATGAGCTGAATTATAGCCCTTATGGACTCCATTTCTAAGTGCTGAAGACTCAAGGCCTTAGAAATCAACTCTGAGTCAATATTTTTCCCCTTTGTTCTCATCAATCAAAAAGGGCCAAACTCTGTAGACAAGTATTCTTTCTTATCTTTGACATTTTCTTAACTTCATTGGTAAAATTTATGTGTTTTTGGTCTTCATCTGATCCAGGACAAGGTGAAGAACACAAGCAATATACTTGATACCCAGATGTCAAGTTGTACCCAGCTCCATGAAGTTTCCAGTGTTCACTTGTGGGTACAGGGCACACTGAGAAGCTGTGTGCTCATAGGCAAAATGTAAGTAGAGGCCTCAAAGTCAGAGCTAAATATGAAGTCATACACTTTCTGGTGTGTGTATGAGTGGTTCGTGTCAACACTCTGTTTTCTGTGATTTGAGTTTCTGTGGTGAAAAATGAGGATTCACAAGGTTGTCATAAGGAGAGAATTATAGTATGTTGAAATGAGAAACAAGTGTTTTGTTTTGTTTTTCATGACTTTATTACTCTTGCTTAAAATATTTCCTTTTAACTGATTAGAATTGTTTCCAACATTTCTCCCATATTTCTGGCATTAATTAACATAAAAAAAAGCCTCATCAATTCTGTCTCTGTCATTCCTATATCTCCTAGAACCCCAAATAACCTTGGCCACCAAAAGCAGAGGTCCTGGTATTACTAAAATGCCGTTTAGACTGTATAACTACTCTGAAGAGAGGTGTTATCATCTCTTCTTGTCTTTAGGAAAACGAGGATTAAAAAGATCATGCTGTTGCCTGAAGTAACATTCACCTGGTAAATTGCAGAACAGGGATGAGAAATAGCAAAAAAGGAGGGTGTGAGTATTCTCATCAACAATTAGCTAAATCAGAGTGCCATACTATATATACTACTCTAGTATATATGAACAAAGAGTCTATGGTCTAGATTTCCTAATTCAAATTAAATCAGAATCATAAGGAATAAAGAAGTGATATCATTAGAGATCATCAGTTCAAGCTCCTTTTTTTGTTTTACAATTGATGAAAGCTTCAGTCTAATAATCTTAAGGCATGGGGAGGAGGGGTCAAGATGGCAGAGTAGTCGGTTTCTGGTGTCACTCTCTTCCAAAGAGCAACCAATTTGTAGCCTTTGAGCAGCAGCAGCGACAGAGGACCCAAAATCTGTGCTGGAATGGACAGGAGCTGCCCACCGTGAGACCCCAGTTCAGATTGCTCCCCATTTCATAGAGAGACTTTAGATCCTTTGGGCCCACATGCCCTGAGCCGGCTGGCCAGAGAAGGCAGGTGGGGCCAGGGCAGGACTTCCAGTGCAGGCTGTCCATCTCTGTGAGTGACCTGAGAGGCACAGGCTCACAAGCCCTGAGCCCAACAAGCTGGTGAAGGCAAGTGGGGCAAGACTTCCAGCCCAGGTCGTCTGTCTCCATGAGCGACTTGAAAGGCTCTGGACTCCCACACCACCCGAACAGCTGGTGAAGGCAGGTGGGGTGGGACTTCCAGTCCAGGCTAGTTTCTGCTGTCCAGATGCAGCGGACCCTTCAGGATCCAAGTCAGACATCAGGGTGAAATGAGTGAACTGTGATACCCCCAGCCACAATGACAAAACACCAAAGGAAAGAAACCAGAAACATGAAAAATCAAGAAAGTACACCACCATCAAAGGAAATTAATAACTTACAAGTTCTAGATCCTATAGAACAAGAAGTCTTTGAAGTGGCCGACAAGGAATTTAGAATAACTATTCTAAGGAAACAGAATGAGATACAAGAAAACTCAGTGAAACGACACAATGAAATGAGAAAAAACATACAGGATCTGAAAGAAGAAATGTACAAAGAAATCAATGCCTTGAAAAAAGAATGTAGCTGAGCTTGTGGAGCTGAAGGAGTCATTCAATGAAATAAAAAAATACAACAGAGAGTTTAATGAGCAGACTTGAACAAGGTGTTTGAATTATCACAGGCAGACCAGAAAAAAGAAAAAAAGAATCAAAAAAAATTGAAGAAAATTTAAGAGAGACAACTGACAACCTTAAGCACTCAAATATCCAAGTCATGGATATTCCAGAAGGGGAGGAAAAAGACAATGGCATTGAAAACATACTCAATG